GCACGGGACAAAGCAAGCTTGTTTAGCACAAGTGAATGTTTCAGGGGTCCCTGCTTTCCATGTGGCCCCAGAAGTGATATTAAAAAATTTTAAATTCATGAACTAAAATAAATTAATCAGCAATAAATAGGAAAAGAAAATTCACAAAAGGGAAATAAATGACCAATAAAAATGTAGAGAGGCTGGGGATGTAGCTCAGTAGTAGAGCACTTGCCTAGCATGCCCTTGGTTCTATCCCCAGCATTGCAAAAAAAAAAAAAAAAAAAAAAAGTGTAGAGGGAAAATGGGAAAATGATCCTGCAAAAAAGTACTGCAAATGAAAACAAGATAGTATCCTTCCTTCAGGCTCTGAAGTTCTGGATGAATTGCTGATCCTAGGCACCTCTTGCTCCTTACCTTACAGGTGTTGCCACATCCCTCTGGCTGGTGAGAGTCCCCACTGGTTGCCATGTTCACACTGGATCTCAGCCCTAAGGGTCTCTTGCTGACCACTGGCTCTTCCCAGGTTCTCCAAGTCTGGTGGGGTCTGCGGACTCAACTGGAGCTGCTGGGGTCAGAAGGAAGATCTTGCAGCTTTCACTAAGGGGTGTGGCCCAGGGACTCTGAAAACATTCCAAGAAATCTGGAAAGACAGTGTTCACATGGTCAGAATCATAAAGCATCACCACATAAACATTTTTCTGGTGGTAGCAAAGTACAGTTCCCTGCTCTGGAAACTGAGAGTAGACAAAGTCCTAGAAACACCTATCGCACCTATTAAACAACATGGAATATAAGCAAGACCATGAGATCTGGACTAAAATTAATAAAGATTTAAGTTCTAGCTCTCCCATCTTTTAGCTGTGAGACTATAAAAAAGTTTCTTCAGTTTTATTTTTCAAAATGAATTGAAACTTTATCTCAAATGGCTGTGAATATTAAATGAGATGATGTTTGTAAGGGACTCAGTATGAGACTGGCACAATGTAAACATTTAACACATATCAGCAAGTACATTTATATAGACTGAGCATCCCAAATCCAAAAATCTGAAATCCAGAATCCACAACTTTTTGAGCCCTGACAAGATGCCACAAGTGGAAAACTCCATACCTAACTTCATATGATAAACACAGTCAAAATGCAGGTATGAAGCAGAAAACAACTGCCAGAGAGAATGTGTAGGAAAAGGCACCTTTACACACTGTTGGTGGGAATGTAATTAGTAAAACCACTATGGATAACAATATGGAGATTCCTCAAAACACTAAAAGTAGGGCCGGGGATTTAGCTCAGTGGTTCTGGCGCCTGCCTCACAAGGGCAAGGACCCGAGTTAGACCCCCAGTACCAAAACAAACCCAAAAAAACAAAAAAACCCCTCTAAAAGTAGAACTAATGTATTGTCCAGCTAACCCACTCCTATGTATGTATCTGAAGGAAATGAAGTCAGTATACCAAAGAGGTATTTGCACACCCGTGTTCACTGTGGCACTCTTCATAATAGCCAAGATATAGAATCAGCCTAGAAAACTATGGCACTCTGAAGAGAGAGACTGAAGATGATATCAGAAAATGGACAGA